AACAAAATTACAAGCTATTATAGAGAAAAGAGACTGTTTACACTTTACAGCTGAAAACCCTTGGAAACATCCACAAGTTGCCTTTGAGACTTTTCTAAAAGCTCTGCATTTAGCAGCTGCTATTTTTGCATTAAGTATGTCTTGACCGCTCTCAGCTTCAACCATTGCTCTTATCCCTTTTGCTTCCTATATGAATCACTGCAACGTCATTCTTCAAGTTCTTCGCATACTCTGCTTTCTTCTTCTATAGTTGCTGCTGCATTCCAAGCAGAAATAGTTTCATCTCTTATGTAACAAGTTACTTGTACAGAGATCTTCTTTTGCTGCATTCTTGCTGTTTTCGCATGCAAGAACATCAGAGATCTTCTTCTCAGCTCTGTTTCCTCTTTATTGTTAGCAAATCATATAAAAAAAATTCAAAACCCAAACCAATGAGAAAATCAGTTACTTGTTCTCTGCTTTGCTCTTGTCACAATCTTCTCAAGCTTTGATGAAAGACAATATATATCTTCTTCAACAAATCGGCTAGTTTCAAATCTTAATACCAAACAAATTGTCTTCTAAAGACACAACCTGTCCCGACGTATATTAGTCTTTGGATATCATTACCCGATTCAAATCAGATCGGAAAGCTAAACAAATTTGAAAAGCTCAACGAAGAAAGATGATGGCAGATACACAATGAAGGCAGAAAAAATAAAGAAGAGGAAGGAGGAGAGAGGCAGAGGAGGATGATCAAGTCCAGTGACACGCGGAATCGAAGCAGCCTGCAATGGAGAGACGCGACGATGAACGACGAAGGAAAGTATTGTTTTTTGTTCGATTTTTTTTTTGTTGCTTATGTTTCTCTTTTCTTTTTATGTTTAAATTGTTTTATGTTCCAACTGTTTATATAAAAATTTAGTAGAATAAAAAAATAAGAGTAATTTTGGGTTTTAATAATATTAAATCTTATGGAGACAATGTCTAAGTTAATAAATCCTCAAAAGACAAATTGTTTTGGAAATTGTCCTAAATTTCTAATTATCTCTAGAATTAATAACATATGCTAGATTTATGGTTAATTGTTAGACTTAACTCAATAATTCTATTTCGTATGACGAAATATTTAATTACCTATGACAGATTTGGTTATATAACCCAGACTTATTTAAACAAATCTACGTTGCATTGTGAGAGATTTATTATTTTCACACAGATTTATAGAAATTTGCCAGACTTATTTTTGGTGCATAGAGATATTAAATTAATTTACCATAAAGATCACAAATATATTTCAAATTTGGCAGTTTTGTGATACGAAACGTAAATCTATCACAGATTTATTATTATTTCGACAGAATTATCCTTCAAAGACATGATAGAGATTTAGCAATGGTGGCAATGTTATATACATGTTGAATAAATCTATGAGTTCACAGATTTATTAAAGCGTCCACTATATTATCAATATGACTCTTACGTCATGATAGAGTTATTTATACGACAAAAAAGACTTATAAATATCTACTGTGTTGTGGCAAACTTACAATATCGATATCATGGCAAATTTGTTCTGTTACTGGATTAACCTATCTTTAGTAGAAGACTTATTTCCGGCAGATATATAGATTTCAATGTTGGTAAAGAATTTTTAATAGACTTATCAAATACTTATGGTAGAATTAAACATGGACTGTTGTGGTATACTTTTGCAAACAGATTTAATTTTACGCTATAGCAGATATATTAGCCACAGTATATCTATAATAGCCCTAATTAAACTTCCTAAAACACGATCATATCAAACATTGGTTTCTCTAGGGTTGCCGCAAGTTTTAACCGGTATTTTAAATTTCGTCTTTAGCATATTTTTTTCTGAAACAATGAATCGAACCTGCTATTTTATTATCAATTTCAGGTGATTTTTAAAGTATTTGTAATCATTTGAACAAGGACATGTTTGATCAAAGACTTTTTACACTGTGAAATGGAAACCCTTGGTCGAAGACGTTTATGGCCACCATTTTGTAATACCAATAATTTTGAAATAAAACATGCTAGAAATAAAATAGATAGATGATTTTGCTAGAAAAATGCAATACATGATTTATTATCAATATCAGGTTGTTTTGTTTTTCCTTAGAATTTGTGTTACTTTGTAAGTGTTTGAATAATTTGGTCTGCCGGCAAAAGATAAAACAAGTCATGAACCATCGAAACTAAAACAATTGAACCATCAAAACATAAGCTATAACAACAAAATTTTAAGTTTACCGCCATAAACAAAAGCAGTCCACCATCAAAACGTTATGCAATTAAGATATAACTCTACTGTAAATAAAAAAATAAATCTGACATAAGCTAAACACTAAAAACAACAGCATAAATCTGTCATATAAACATATTTGCCAGCAAAATAATTAAAATTTACACAAATTTGTCATCAACGGTACACAAATCTACCATAGATGAAAAATCAAAGAGATTATGTTGGATCTTGAGAATGGTGGCAAAAAATACAAAACGGCGGCAGAAAATCATGATAACCAAAACGGCATCATCGTTTGCAGCAAACCGCATCTTCGTTCACCAATGAACCGATGACATCAAGAATGAACAACCAAAACCTGGAACAGCCATCAATCCAAAGAATCAACAAGCTACAGATCGAGACGAATCGACAACCAATACCGCTAGAGATCTGAACCAACAACAAAGCCACCACCGGACTGAGAAGAAATCACTGCACTTCACCGCCAAAGGACACAACAAAAAATCCATTGCTGAAAACAAACAGAAAAGAGAAGACTAGAGTAAGGGCAGTGACGAATCGGAAACTCACCCGCCGTCGTCTAAATCAAGCATATAATCGCTAGTGCACTAGGGTTTTCAAGGAGAGCTTTCTTTTTGAGAAATTTTGAGAAAATACCTCTAAGTGAGTTTGTATTTTGAAAACTAGACCATTTTTATTATTTTTCTGATAACTACACTTATTTAAAAGTGCAATGACTAAATTAAACTAAATAAGAATTATATTGGTTTTGATATTAAATCATAAATTTTACTCACATAAAAATAAAATATATTTAAGGATCTACACAAAATAATATAGAATTCATTTTTATTTTATTATTCTAATAATAAGTAATTTAAACAATATTTTAATAATAAGTAATTTAAGCAATATTCTAATAAAATATTGTTTTTAATTATGTTTGTCGATATAAGAATTATTTCCTGCATATTAGCAGAAGCAACAAAGACTTATGTATACACATCTTGCTGAATTTATATTGTCTACACCAGTCAAGTTATCTTCATCTTCACAAGACAAGCTTCCCTTAGTTAGAAGATTATTCGTAGCTACTGATCAAATTTTAAATATAACTGAGACTTGAGATGTTTTTAATTATGTTTGTTTTTAATTATGTTTACTAGTTTGGGAGGAGAAAACCCTACTAATTACCCACAAACTAGTGGAAGTTTTCTTAAATAAAATGTTGATTCGACATGAGTAGGCTTTCTCCAAAATCTTTTTATTAGGGTGTTTACATGCAGAGTTAGTAAAGATGGAGAAAAATAAAAACTTGTCAGTGTTTTTCTATATTTACGCAACAATCAGTTTTGATGACAAACACTTCCCTTCTATCTAATTCTATCAAGCACTAGTGGCAGTAGGATTCTTCTTGTGTAAAGATAAATAATTAGTTAATAAAGTTAATGTTGCTTTTTTTTTTTAAAAAAAAAAACTGAATTGTTCATGAAAGTTTTAACATTTTATGGGTCAGAAATGAAAGTGTTTAACATAACATCTTTATATAACACTAACAAAACTAATTTTCTTAAGAGGAAAATTTAAAATATATGAAAGGTTATCCAATTTTATATTTTAAAATATTACATGATTATATATTTGTTTATGCCAAACATAAAATTATCTTAGAATAATAGTTTCGAATTTTTATCTTCATTTCTTAAAATATGTACTTTCTAATTAATTTTGACAACTATTTTTTTTACATATATCAAAAGTGCAGTTTAAAAAAAAATATAAATAACAGTGTATTTTACTAATTCAAAAACCTAAATAGTGTATTTTGCCAATTATCCCTTTCTTTTTGGGTGATATGAGAGTTTATGTCGTGGTTTTGTTTTCTCTATTCAATTTTTAGTTGATTATTTATTTTAAATTTTAATTAATTGCTGACTGTGTAAAAAATTATTTCTAGTATAAAAATAAATCAAAATGGCAAACTTGTGAATATCAAAAAAAAATTTGGATTATATGTCATTTTAATTAAAATTAGAGTTATGATAGTAAACCTACCAATGACGAGTTATTCTAGTAATTTTTTTTTTTAAATTAGAGTCATTCTAGATAATTTCTCAAAATATATTTGAAATATCCAAACTTCCTGTAAACTAATTAATATTTTTATATTGGTAACTGTAATTTTGGGTATTTGTATATTTGGGTATATATTTTTAGACAGATTGTTCGGATTTGTGTATATGTGTGAATCACCAGCAGATTGACCGTCTTTTATGACAGAGTTGGAATCTTTTCGTATACTTTGCGAGATGTTTTTAGAGTTCACTTTATCCTATATATTGAGAACTCAAAATGTCTGGGCGGATAGGCTTGCAAAAGAAACTTGAGCAAGAAGAGTTATTTTTTTTCAAATCGATTACACCGAGCCGGTCGAAAATGATCTACAAACCACTTTTTCGATATACCAAATGTGATTGTAATAGTTGGGTAGAGAAAAAAAAAAGTTTTAAAATTTGGATATCCAATCGGTTTCAAAACTTTATGTTTCGATAATTAATATAGAATCTAGTTGGTATTTGTAGGTTTTGGTTCGGTTCAGTATATCTTAACTCGATTCGGTTTTTGTTTCGTTTTTCGAATGCAGCAGAGATATTTTGTCCACGCATACCCCACCACGGACAATTCTAGTTTCAAAAGAATGGATAATTTCGGAAATTTCGGAAATTTGCAGAAATTGCGGGTCCGATTGTCAACATCGCGTATCGCCTTCTTCTTCTTCTCCAAAACGACGAACAATTCGAAACAACCTAACGCGTAAAAATCTATTCTTCGCTCTGAGTGAGATTAAACAGCTTTCTTCTTGTTCCTTTCATTTTTCAATAAAGTTACCATTTTTCTTTCAATTAGAAATTTTGTCATCTGCAAATCTTAAAAATCAATGACGGAACCGGAAAGATTAGAAGAAATCTCCCTGAGTTTTCCGGCGAACGAGGAGGATACAAAGAGTCTTCCCCGGAGACTCCGTCGTCGTCTTCTCGAACCGAGAAGCCCCGTCTCCGCCGAAGAGATCGATTCCAAACTCAGAGAAGCTGATCTCCGTCGTCAGGTAAATTCAAAAGTTTGAATTACGTTCGGTATCTCAATGGACGATAACAGAACCGAATTAAAGAAATTTTCTTGCTTTTGCTGGGTTTATGCAGCAATACTATGAGTCACTATCGAGCAAGGCACGGCCTAAGATGAGAAGCCCGAGATCGGCAACTATTGAGGAGCTTAGTCAGAGACTTGAATCAAAGCTTAACGCTGCTGAACAAAAGAGGTAAAGAGACTTATCTCGTGGGTAATTTAAACAGTAAATGAAGGAAATTGTGAGAATTAGATCAACTTTTGGTGATGTTAATGCTTCAGGTTAAGTATTCTAGAGAAGGAGCTAGCTCGTTTAGCAAAGCTAGATGAAGCAAGACAAGCTGCAAAGAACGGGCTTGAGCAAAGGGTTGAGAAGGAGCGTGATGAGTTAGAGACAAAAGTTGAAGAAAGGGTTCAAAAGGCAGAGAAGAATAGGATGCTTCTGTTCAAAGCCATGGCGCAGCGTAGAGCGGCAAAGAGACAGCGAGCTGCGCAGAGCTTGATGCAGAAAGCAATTCAGGAGAAGAGGTACAAGGAGACCGTTCGCGCGGCGATTTATCAGAAAAGAGCAGCTGCTGAGAGCAAAAGGATGGGGATTCTGGAGGCGGAGAGGAGAAGAGCGAACACGAGACTTACACGGGTTTTTGGTGCTGCTAGTTCCGTGCAGACCCAGAAGGAAGATGAAAGAAGGAGAATGAAAGACCGTTTAGAAGAGCGGCTTCAAAGGGTATTGCTTTAAAAAGTTTCAGACTTTATCATTATTTGTGTAATCAGCCATGAATTTATCGTTGATGGTGTGGCGTTTGTTAGGCCAAGAAACTGAAAGCACAATATCTGAGGCGAAAGAGGGGAATTGACAGGGCTCATCAAAGATCAGAAACAATGCGGAAGAATCAAGAGCATCTTGTGAGGATGTTAGAAAGGTAGGTACTGTTCTCTAAAAGTTTGTAAGATGTTTTTAAGTCGAGTGTCTGATTGTCGTTTTTGAATATCTCAGATGCTGGAGGAGATTTACAAAGTACAAGAAATCTACTTTTGTTTTGGCTAGAGCCTATCACGGGCTGGGGATCGATGAAAAGTCTGTTGAGTCAGTGCCGTTTGAGCAGCTTGCCATTCAAATGAACTCGGTTTCTGTAATCCGAACAGTGAAGGAATTGCTTGACCGCTTGGAGATACGACTCACTCTTTCGAATGCATCCACTGTGGAGAATATTAGACATCTTCTTAAGCACATTTTCCCTCCAGCTCGAAGAGGAAACTCACCGAGTTCCGAGCAAAAGTCAGCCAATTCCAGGAAAATGGGAAATCAAAAACTCAAAAAGATTGCGAGATACCCGGCTAGGATTTTTCTTTGTGCCTACATGATAAAGCAACATCCAGATGCAATTTTCAGAGGACGAGGTGAACATGAGATTGCATTAGTGGAATCTGCAACATATCTTATCCGGGAGTTCGAATTGTTGGTGAAGATTATATTGGAAGGACCAGAGTATACCCTCCCTGAAAACGTATCTTTGATTACTCCACGTCCAAAGAAGTTCAGATCTCAACTAGAAGTATTTGATAAAGCTTGGTGCTCTTACCTCGAAGGGTTTGTAGTTTGGAAGATTAACGATGCTAAGCTTTTAGAAAACGATTTAGCCAAAACTCAAGAGGTAGCGCTCTCTGAGCCGTCAACACACATTTCTTCTCCTAAAATGATAGACAGTGGCATGAATCAGAAGCCGGTATTTCCCGTTCCTCTCTTTTCAACTTACCTTAATTGACTGTCTACATGAAACTATGATTAGCTTATTCTGCTGCACAATTTTCTTCTAATAGACATTTGAGGGTCAGAAGCTTGATATGGAGAATGACTATTCTTTTTTCAGCTGAAGGTATCTTCTCCAACTGTTCGGGCTATATTCACTGAAACTGATGGAGCAGGAGAATCTAAAGCATCTGCAGATTCGCCTGGTCCATCTTCATCTTCGCCGGGATCATTTAAGTCTGGTATTATTATCAATCTGGATAACCTCTAAAAGCTCACAGATTATACAGCAAGTCTTCAATCTAACACGATTTCTTCTGTAGAAGGAAGCGAGGGCATTTCCCTTCCAAACGCTACAGGTCATAGCTTGGATGCAACATTGGCTAGTGAGAACGAAGTAATCGTAAACGAAATTGTCCATGACAATAGCAGTAGTTTTGCTGATAGCTTCGACGCTAACAGTGGAGATACAAGCAACCTTCAGGTGAATAAATGATGACTTCACTATTCTGATTCGTTCAGTTGCACTAAAGTAGTTTCGACTTGACTCATATTTCCGTATACGTTCGTTGTGTCCTAGGTGAAGGTTAAGGAGACAATGGAGAAGGCTTTTTGGGATGGCGTCATGGAATCCATGAAACAGTCGCAGCCAGACTTCAGCTGGGTTCTTAAACTCATGAACGAAGTCAGGGATGAGCTCTGTGAGATATCTCCCAAAGATTGGAAACAAGAGATTGTTCAAACTATCGACACGGATGTGCTGTCTCAGGTACTTATTTACTACAATCTTCTCTTAATTGTTGGTGCAACAGATATGATATGTACATAACGATTACTTTTCTTGGCATGGTTCAGTTACTGGAGTCTGGGAATGTCGACATGGGTTATCTTGGAAATATTCTTGAGTTTTCCCTTGGCATTTTGCGGAAACTCTCTGCTCCAGCCAATGAAGAGGAAATCAGGACTACGCACCGTAAATTAATGACAGAACTTCGGGAGATAGTTCCAACGGAAGACCAGTCGAATTCGTCATATGCAATCTTGATGGTTAAGGGGCTACGCTTTGTTTTGCAGCAGATTCAGGTATGCGCAAGTTTTCTTCATTCTACTTTGTGGACATAAGATTTGATAGTTTCTGAGCTTTCTGGATAACATGTACTCTGTAATAGGAACTCGTATATGAGCATAATAATTGATGTGTCCTCTTCTTGCAGATTCTGAAGAAGGAAATCAGCAAATCTCGTTTGAAACTCTTAGAGCCATTTCTCAAGGGACCTGCTGGTCTAGAATATCTGAAGAAGTCATTTTCCAGCCGGTATGGTTCCCCAGAGCAAGCGTCTTCCTCTCTACCATTGACAAAGCGTTGGCTTTTTAGAGTTCGAGGAGAGGCAGAGAAGGAGTGGAAAGAACATAGAGATGCTCTCACAAATAACAACCCTGGATCATCAGGCCTCCCTTCAACCACCATGCGTACTGGAGGCAATATCTCCTCTGTTTCAAAAGTCAATCCCCCTTTGTCTCCATTTCCAGGTTTGGTGTCAAATCTATCAGCCTAGTTTAGTGTCCACATGACATTTTGGTCGTTTGTTGATACGTATATATGCATGCTGGTGATTTTCTGTTGCAGGAATTGAACTGTCAGAGTGCAAAGGAGAAACTGTGGATCTTCTTGTTCGTCTTGGTCTATTAAAAATGGCGAGCGAAATTGGCGGTCTTACTTTAGAAACTGTCCCCGAAACATTTCAGCTTAATCTCTCTAGGCTGAGAGCTATTCAATCCCAAATCCAGAAAATTATTCTAGTCTCCATCAGGTCAGTGGTGATAAAACTTTACCTCGTGGCCTGGCTCACAATGATGATTGTATAATCCTCTTTTTTAACCGCTCTGTTTCTTTCTTTTTAGTGTGTTGATCCTCCAGCAAACACTTGTAAGCGAAACTTCATCACCCGTTGATATGGAGACCATTACATGGACTTGCATCAACCGGCTTTACGAGATGTTAGATGCGAAACCTGACGCGGGTCTTTCAGAAATCATGGAAACACTCTCAAAGCTTCTTGATTCTGACGATGCAGAGACAAAGAAACGTGTGATCGCGAACATGCTTGTGAAAAGCTTACAAGCAGGAGACGCAGTGTTCACACGTGTGTCGCAGACCATATACTTAGCCACAAGAGCCGCTGTTTTGGCCGGAAACAACCCGAAGAGAAAGCAGTTGGTTGAAACAATGCTAAGAAGAATCGGTGCAGCTTCTCTCTCGGACAAGGTAATAGAGGTTTCAGACGTTCTGGTTCTTGTGGCGAACGTGTCGCGTAGTGTTCATGGATTGTGGTACGAAGAATTGTTGAAGAAACCGAATTGAAATTGTAAGTTTGTGTGTAAGCCAGTGGGGTTTGTTTAATGGTTTGCTCAAGTGTTTGTAGATGAGATTCATAACGATACCGTACCACGTTTGTATTTATACATAAAACTGTAATGTAATACCCTGCACGTACTAGCATTCCGGTTTACTCTCTTTGTGATGGATTCCAATTAAACCGAGTCCAACTTCATTTTTTAATCCCGGTTCGATCATTTTGGGCAAAAAATGGTTTCTAACAGGATTTTAAACTGGTTAACGATGACAATACGAACACAAAGTGTTCTTTACTTCTTAGGGTATTGTCCCTACCGACAATTCCTGACGAGGGATTAAAGGGAAAGCTGTTTTAAGTGCGCGGTAATATATTTGATTATATGAAAATAAAAGTGAAAAGAAACATATATAAACAAAAGAAGAGAGTTCAGCTTTGTGACAAAACAAAAGAGTTTTATTACTAGCTAATCTTTTCGGTAACAAACAAATACGTTCTTTTAAAAAAAATTCTTCTGAAAGAATAATTTAATTATACCATAATTATCCATATCCAGCTTGTTCAGTTTAAGCCAACTCTTTACCTGAAATACTATTGAGTATGGTGTATGGATCTCGTAGAAAGAGAACAAAAATTGGAAGCAGTTAATGTGGTAGTGGTAGTAAAGGGAGGTCATCAAAGGATTATGTCTCTTTTTCGTTTAGTTTTAGTGAAATTAGGTATGGTTTTCCTCCATTGCGCTTGGGTAGGGCTTTCATTTGGGATTAGGTCGGGTTCTATTTCATTTAGTTGATGTTAAACAATGAACATGTTCGATCATTTTTTTTTGTTTGGGTTAACCGGGTATCTCAAGCCAAAACCACGAGACCCATAGAAATCAGGCTTTTTTCTACTAGAGACGTCTATGGTGACCATCCATGATTAAAATCATAAGATCATGGTTAGACAAAAGAGATGTAATTTACAAAAAAAAAAAAAAAAAAAAGTCGCTCATGCATGTCAGCTTGCACTTGTCACTTCTTGGACGGTCAAATTTACGATTTTTTTGTTATGTGTAGCCATATGAAGACTCTTAGTTCGTGTACTAGCAAACAATTTATAAGATAACAGTTTCAGGCGCAATTAGACGAAAATTATAACCAAGCGCAGATGAATGTAGTTTGCATCATGTTTCTCGATTTTTTTTTTTTTTTGGATTAACCATGGAAGTTTTGGACTTTCCACCCATAACCTCTATATTCGAAGTCAGATTTTTAGATATTTCTGATTTCCATGTCGACTGATTTCATATCTTTTATTTTCCCATGTAAGTTAGACAATGTCATTAGAGGTAATTTCACTGAACCACCATTTACTCACCAAAACTTAATTTAATCATGTGTAGTTGGAAAAACAAATATTCTGAATTAGGAAATAACTATCTGTTCCAAAAGGGGTTGAACCTGGGGCCTAAGAGAACCAACACCCATGTGATGTTTCTCGATTGTTGATGCATATCATTTATACATTATATTTTTGTTGGTATAGCTATACATACTTTTACTTGTAATTAGAGTTAAGCAGTCTAATACCCTTCAATAATGGGAAAATTAAGTGTATGGGAAGCTTAGTTGAATAATAAAAAATATATCTATTGCAAAAATTGTTGTAGGCAAAAATAACCCTATAGAGGGAAGAGAATACCTGCGCAGTCGCATTAAATGCTTCTGGCTTATGAGGAGACATAAAATTTTATAATACAATGAGTATCTTTGATGAGATACTGCGCCGCCTGGAGAATTAATCTGCACCGTCCAATAAAAAAACATATTTCAGAAAGATTATCTGCTAAGAAAATATCTCGAGCAACGTAAAAAAAAATAACAGACTTATCTCCCTATAATAATGGCGATAACAAAGGTTGCCTTCATTCCCATTTACAGCTAGTAAAAACAGGATAGAGATAAAATCAGAGAGAGTTAATAACTGCTTCGTTTCTGAATTTCTATTGGAGATAGGTGTGGAGCCCTAAGAGGTAGTTATCGATAACCTTTTCTGTCTTTAATAGCTCAAAATTATATGAAGATCTGGGTGTTGTATTTTATTGTGATTAAGACATGTTTATATCGTGACATTGTAGGAGATGGCGATGAATGTACGCGTGATTCGTGGAAAATGGACAAAAGGTGGAGACGGTATGTGGAATCATGAACCTGATAATGTAACTGATAAAAAGAGAAGGACACTTTTGCAACCGTCAAAGCAGCTGTCAAATATGAACTCCGTCTGTTGGTCGGATATGATGTTGAAATTACTTATCAATGGCCGGAGTGGATGTTGGGTGCTGAGGGAAGAAGAAATCATCCGATATATATCATGGATGACGAAGACGCCTCCTTGTTTATGGCGATAAGGGCCGATTTAGAAGATGTAGTGCTGCGGGTACGAATTATCCCTTGGGGAACAGAGAGAAACGTGAACTCATACTCCACTAATGTAACCCTAGGTCAACAGAGACCTGAATGTGGGGGTAGCTCAAATGCAAATCAGCCTGCAATAGGAGAGAGTGGATATGGGCATCAAAATTCGGTTATAGGTGCGCGAACCTTTATTTGGTCTTTTTCCTGAGTGAATAATAGTAGTACAAAATAACTAAGCTTGAAAAATGATGAACAGGCAGCATGTTAGCAGCAGTCGCAGCACCGTTTCGGAAAAGAGTTGAACTCAGGGGTGGTAAGTTGATAGATGAGAAGAGTGTTATCAGAAAATTAATAAGGTGAAAGATTATTAGAGTGTTAACTTTGTTAGCATTGTTTTTATGGGTTAACTTTATTTGCAGAAAATATGATAGACACGGTAACTAAAACTAATCAAACACCGAATCAAGTAAGCTCAAGGGCGATTGGGGACTGGGCAAGGAATGAAACATATAAGCTACCTTGTGGTGAGTAGAGCTACAAAAAGTTAATTGTAACTTTTTCTCAAGTTACAGGACAAGGTTATACAGATCAGATGTGAACCATGAGAATTACTGATCTGTGAGGGAATACTGATTTGTTACAGGACAAGGTTATATCGACCTATTAGTAAGAGGGGATGATGGTGGGAAAAACGTACTGGATGCAAACAACTCGCTGAGGAAAGGTAAAGAAATCATGTATCCTTAGTGTGTGAATCATTTTGGGTGGGGATACAAAAGGGTTTAACTTACAGAAACGTGAGTTGGCAGTTAACTTTGCTAATCCTGGTAACAAAACATTTTTATCAGGTGAGAAAGAGGTAACAAGAGATGTCAGCGCACATGGATTGATTGGCATGCCCGCTTCACAGTGGTTTGGTATATTCTCAAAACGCATGTTTAACAATTTTTCCTGCTCTTTATTGTTACCTGCAAAACCTAAAAATGTCGAGAGTGCTGCAGGGGGGGAAATGTTAAACGAACGAATTGTTATCTCAGATAGCGAAACAACCGATAGTGTTATACCTTCTCCCTGCACGGTTTTAGGTACTTCAGTGCTACGTCTGTGATGAAACAAATTACTAATAAGAATAGTTTGTTAATGAAAATTAAAATATTTTAGGCAGCACAAAGCGCACTCAGGAAGGACAATGGGGGGTGGATGTCCGCCACCTTTGGCAATATTTTCATGGAGGTCTTCATGTGAAGTCAACAGACGCACGTGAGCCCCGGGTACCCGGTGATGTAATGCCAAGTGTTGGAACATAAAGAGTAGACAATAATTTGAAGTTAACTCTAGCAGGTGCTTTTGTTACTCCAACGCAACCAACGGTACCGGCAGGATCTTCCTCCTCATCTAATGGAACATTATCTACTAACGGGTGTTCGTCTGATGAAATTATGGCTGATTCTGAGTATCAGCAAAACACGGCTATCTCTCTAACTGGTACTACAAACTGTATATTTAACCTCAAAAACTGTGGATATGTGTCATCATTGTTGCCCGTTTTTAAATAAAAGGGTTCTGCAGGTGAGGATATGCGCCCTCAAATCTTGGAAGGGATTCCTGTTCTTCAAGGAAACGATGATTTGCGTATTGGCGGGAACAGGGTTGGTGTTAGGGTGGTGGGGGGTCGGGACAAGGGAAAAGGCATAATAGCCAAAAATCCTCCTATTTTTGCTAACACTGTAATCTCCGCAAAACAACCGATTCGGTTGGACAATCTTCAACCACCATAGGCGGAGGTTTGGGTAACACCGGTTATGCATGAGCGTGATGCGCTCCTCGTATTTCGACGACCCCATTGGGGAAGGTATGTCATGGTTAATTAGGTTATCTGATAACTACGATATTTCCTAAACACCTGTTAATTACGTTATCTGATAAATTGTAAAAGTTATCTGATAATTAAAAATATATTGGTTATCGCAGATGCTTTAGTACGAGCTTTGCACGACATTGATTATGAAGGCGATGATATATTTCTTGGCCGGGTCTTCAAAAACAAGGAAGACTGCAAACTGAAGCTTCACATCCACGCCATCAATAACAAGTTCAACTTTAAGTACGACAAGTCGTGTCCCAACGTAGTCGTCGTAATCTACGTAGGTGAAACATGTCCTTGACGCGTATATGCAGCCCGTATGGAGGGTAGTATTAGATATGAGGTCCGTAGCGTTCACCTGTAACATACTTGCAGCGTTGATGTTAGAGGGAACTATCACCGCCAGGCAACATATACTGTTATCGGTGATTTAATGCGAGCAAAGTATGGTGTTGAAGGTAGAGGACCACATGCGTTTGAGCTGCGTCGGCTTTGGCGACAAGAATTTAGCCTCCACATTAGCTACTGGAAAGCTTGGAGAGCACGAGAAATAGCTATGGATCGTGCTTTGGGGTCTGCAATGGGAAGTTACGCATTGGTCCCAGCGTACTTCAAGCTCTTTTTGGAAGCAAATCCCAACTCGGTCATCGGTCTTAAAACAGAGACAGATCCGTCTGGTGTATAAGTACATGCGCAAAGTCATCGTGATAGACGGCACCCATCTACGAAACAGATATGGCGGATGCCTTGTAGCTGCCAGCGCACAGGACGGTAACTTTCAAGTGTACCCTCTAGGGTTCGCGGTTGTTGATAGCGAGAATGACGATGCATGGGAGTGGTTTCTGTGGAAGCTGACAGAAATTGTTCCCCACGAGCCAGATTTGGTGTTTGTCTCAGATCGCCATTCATCGATCTATACCGCAATTCGTAAGGTTTGTCTCCTAATAGCCGTAAAAATCAAGTTAGCAATGTTGAATACAACTATGTTATCTCCTAACGAAGTTATGGTTATCTATGTTATCTGCGTAAAGCTATAGGCCATCCTAGTTTTGCAATATTAATTTAAACCAGAAATTAACGGTGTCTAAGTTATCTGCGTAAGTTATCTGATATATTGCGTACCAAAGTAACGTTAACTGAATTGACATTACAATACTATTAGTATAACGGCCCATTGTTTACTATTAACCAACTATCATTATTATCTGTTAATTGGTAAACGTTTTTGTTATTAGGTTTACCCGATGTCTTCACATGGCGCATGTATTGTCCATTTGCAACGAAATGTGGTCACCAACTTTAAATCTGAAATGCTGAGTGAGTTGACATCCCAGACAGGTCGTGCATACCGTTTGAGTGAATTCGACAGGATTTTCGAGGAGATAAAGAATACCGACCCAGAATGCGCAGCGTATCTAGCGAGGATCGGTTTCGAGCATTGGACACGGTCACATTTCGTTGGTGATTGATACAACATCATGACAAGTAATATCTCGGAATCGCTAAACAATGTGCTAACTAAGGCTCGTGATATTCCGGTAATCTCCATTCTAGAAACAATTCGGACAACGCTTGTTTCATAGTTTGCACTAAGGCGTGAAACAGCTAACAAGGACACAGACATCGTGAATCCCAAGGTGAAGGAAATGATGATGGAAAACTTCAAGAAATCTGCTGGTTATTTCGTAATGAAGATAGGGGACGGCGTATATGAAGTTCGCGACGCAATGGATATTGCATATGCTGTTCACTTGTGGGAGCAATCTTGCACCTGTAGAGCATTCCAACTCCTAGGGATACCTTGCGAACACGCCATTGCAGCAGGTATTAGGGATGGGGTTCGAGTAGAGACTCTGGTAAATATCCATTACACCGTTCAATATCGCAGACTTGCGTATGAAGCAATGATAATGCCAGTGCCCGACATAGACACCCTGGAACGTACTACTAATGAGTCTGGCAAGGTGAGGCTCGGCCCTCCCAATGTCCGTCGTCCCCCTGGAAGACCTAAAAAGACGCGTATATTCTCTAAGGGTGAATTCAAGGTAAGTAAATAAATAGAAGCAGATGTGGAATCCATTTTTTTTTTAGTTTAGGTTGTGATAACATGGTTAACTGCAGAGAGTGGCGAGGCGTCGTTGCACAAGATGCCGTGTCCGTGGACATAACAAATCCACTTGCAAGGGCCCCATACCGGTACGCATGTGACGTATAGTTCTATACATACCCTGTTTGGTTGCGCATTTGGTAAAAATTTGGTGTGTACAATTAAAGCGGTAATTTTGTGCTTACAGGAAACTTAAAACTATGATGGGGGATAACTTGCAGTTTGGTTGTATATAGCGGCAACAACTCCAACAGGCTAGAAGATGTAAAATACGGACATGGTTGGGTGTTAAGTAAAGTTGGTATTAGTGATCACCTTTTTCTGTGTAATATGATCGCTAAGTTATAAAACTTTCTGAATTGAGTTTGAGATGACCCCCTTAGCTAATATACAACAGCCCTGGGGTCATATTGCAAACTTAGTTATTTTGTACGTTGCATGTGGCAGCTTCTAATCATTGTAGTATCCGTTTGCATCTTTTGGCTGTGTCCTACTTTCCTTGTGATATATGCAATGCTGTTATGGTTTACTAAATGTAAATTTCTCTTTCTTATATCGAACAGAGTTAATGCTAACATTATTATCGCTACGATCAGAGTTGTGTTAACATTATTATCATGTATATTAGATATCTAGATAACTTTGGTCGGCGCGCTATATTGTTTAGATAATTTATGTTCATTGGCAATTAAACATTTGGTGTTCTGACGAGCGTAAATTGCAGCTAACGAGACTATCTTTAGTGTGAGTTATTCAGAAACCTTAATTAGTTAAGTGTAGGCTAGCGGAATGAATAGGTTAGTGACATCATGTATGTTGCCAAAGATGGGGTTTTTTCCCTAAATCAAAACTATGGGAATGAATGATTAGCTACAATAGTGAAGAGTGTTAGACCGCTTTACTCAAACCTAAAACTCTACCTTGGAATGAATGAATGATTAATTTTGATCTAATGTGGATACATGTTCTATGTAGTCTTAAGTTATCAACATTGTAGGACAATCGTAAAATACTGATAACAAGTCGGGTATTTTTAATTGCAAGAATTAGCTGATTGACGGCATACTGAATGCGGGCAAAGATAGTCAGCACATTGCTTAAAAAGTGATGTAAGCGAACAACGAATCCTGGTAAGTCTGAGAACGAGCTAACTGTATGCTTAAAAAGTGATGGTAAACTATTAATGCTGAGAACGAGTTAACTATGTTAACTTACAGTTAGGTGAACGTGATAAGTATAACAGATAGCTTGTGGTAATGGATGTATACATTCGATGACACATAATGACAGGTAATAACGTTATCTTGTCATTAAGATATCAATTCAGCATGTCAGCTAGTTAGCCGATGGGTGGTTGTACGTGCTCGCGATGCGAATGTTGAAATAAATAGTTCCAAAAACCATGCTTGAGAGGCGAAAGTACAAATAAACAGTGACAAATACGTAGTCTTAACAAGTAAAGAACGAAAAGAGGAGCGAGAAGCATATCAGTTTAGGTTCTACAGAACCAAATGATAGGAGGGAGAGTACACACGTCAGATGGAGATGGAGTTACATGATAATTTTTGTTACATGATAATATCAGTTTAGGTATCTAGAAAGTATAATGCTTGATCAATGCAGAAATCATTTTCTTTGTCTCGCTTTCCAGTAGTTGAACTTCGAACTGTCTACACCCGTCTATTCCGCCGACTGCATGAGTTTGGAGAAGGAAAATAGAATACATACCAGAATCATTTGGGGAATCGATTTGGTGGATACCAGTGACCTTTTCGATAGAAAATGGTGATATCTCAACTTGAAACATCTCCATATTAGCAGCCACCAATTTGAATAAATAAGGGAGCATAGTGGCTATGGGCTGCAGCTCGTCCACAAGCCTGGTTTCGTTGATGAGGGCCATGTTGCAGTCCAAAACAAAGATCTTTTTGGCTTTCAGATCTACAGCCAGTGTCACCCAGTGCCGCTGGTTGAAGTTGAAAGGTAAGTAGACGATGTCAGCCTCCTCATACAATTGCACACGGTCGACGTCGTCTACACCATTAACCATATCTATCACCGTTTTGGTGAAAGGGAATTCTTCTCTACCAGGAGATTTGATGAACCTGGGGTATAACTTGGTTAACTGAGAAACGAATTTTGTGTCTAGAAGTTCAACTCTCAGCCCTACACCATCCTCCATGTCGACTCGCAGCATGTGGCGCGAAAACCGTATGAGCCCATCCATCACCTGACAATAACCCAGATCCGTCAATAACAGTTACCCTTAATATGTTTTATTTATCTAATGTGAGGGGTGTTTTTCTTTCTTTCTAATGCACTGAATACCTTGGCAGGGGTGTTTTTCTTTCTTTCTAATAGATCGATGAAGTCTTTTGCTGACAACATCATCAGATTTCCCAGGTTCAGTGATCTGTTAGAGGAACCAGAATTAGCCAACTCATATAAATTGGTGTCCAGTTAAGTAGTTCAGGGACAACCCTTTTTACTGTCCCAATTGCCAATTGAACTTTCTCGTCCAGTTTTCTGGCCTTGGCGACGCCGGCTTCGGTTTCATGACCTATGAGTGTCTTCAATCTCTTGTCACATTGGAAACGCTCGTCTATCCTTGAGGAAACAACACGGGGGCGCTTGCTTTTTCTAGTGTAATCAGGTATTGACTCCCCCAAAACACTGAAACAACCTCCAACTTGACCTAGTCCCTGTACCAGCATAAAAATATGAAAAATGACATATATCTTTGTTATCTAATTTGAAATTTATTCTTCCAAACATTATCACACCTTCTTCTCAGCTGTTGTCTCATCAGCGTCCGCCTCGGCTTCCTTTATATTCTCCGTCTCTCCAACCCCCTATATTAAATTGCAAAATCATTAGCAACACTGACCTATATATTCATAGGTACAAGACAATAATGTTAACCTGATAAACAACTAAGGCTGAGCTGGTTTCTGTTCCCTCCGAGATAATGGTATCATTGTCAGTATGGCTGACACCCTCGGGATGAGTTAGGACATTGGACCCCTCGATGGAAATACTGTTAATATTTGCAGCATTGATTTCCTAGATGAACAAAACAAAAATTGGTAACATTATTACATGTTAAATCGCAAAATCTGTAAACGTAACCAAAAATTTAAGTAAAGTTATAACATATAACATGTAACTTACAGATTGTACCCCCTTTTTACCCTCCTCGACGCATGGTGTCTGAGTTTTGTCTCCCCCTTTGCAAACATTATCCTACATATAGCATTTTTCATGAGAACTATATTTAAAAGATAATAAAGTATCATGTATAACTAAGTTAGCGCTGAATAAGTTATCTAAAATTTATGATACCTCTGAATAATATGCAGCAATCTCTTTCACCGACTGCTCCTTACTCACTTCTTGTACCCGGGTGGTGTTTCCTGCTGATGTCGTGTCAACTGCGTGAGGGAACAAGTTTTACCCTTAACAAAAACAAATGAAAGCCGGAAGTGCACAGCTAATCAGTTGTAGTATTTAGGGATCAAATCCACAGAGATTTGTGTGTCTGGTATTCTTCTACGGTTTTTAACTTTATATCTAGACTAGATTGGTTTTATAGGTTGGTTGTTTGTCACAAATTAAACTAAAACTTAAAGAAAGTAAATAAATCTATCCTAGAAAGCAAGTAGAAAAATCGAATGCAAAGCAAGTAAAGCAAGTAAAATTATTAAACTAAAGCAATTGAAATGCAGATCTAAATAAACAAATAAAAATCGATTGATTTGTAAACTATGGCTAAAAACGCTGAGCTTTTGGGAACTCTAAGGGATCATAATCGGTTTTGACACTAGGCTAGATAGATTGGGATTGACGGATATCGATATATAGGGTTCTAGAGTTAGAGTACGGCGGTATGACTACGTCACTGTCGTGATCATAACCAACTGTTTCTCGTAACCATGACCAGTAGGTTTCCACTCTGGCCCTAGAAGGGAGAGAACGCAAGAGCTGCACAAGACTCATCAATACTCACGATCTCGCTGCAGGTAGGTTTCCACTCCTACGGAAAAATTGCCTGTTTCATTAAGGGCTGATACTTAATGAAAACTTTCGCAACACTAACTATCTAGATCAGATACTAGGTGATCAATCAAGCATACATGCAATAAGAACAAGAATAAACAGAGAACAAGTCGAAATCTCAGATCTATAAACCTAGATGTCTTAATCGATTATGAGATCCTCTTTCGGGAACCTTAAGCCCAACTCGGGATCTACTCAGACATGGCTAAGGTCGACATCATCATCGGTTTTAATAAAAGTAATGAAAAACAGTAAAGAAAAGAGATGAAGAAAGCTTCTCTATTCAAGAACTCGGACTTGAACAAATCTTTTACAAAAATCGCATAAAAACGGCTAAAGGAAAAGGGTTTCTGTAAAGTATGAAGGGTTCTCTCTAAAAACGACCTAAATGACAAGTATTTGTAGTCTTCAATACTCCATGGTCTCTAGGGTTCCGGAATTGAGGCTGAGAATGACTTTGGGCTTCAGAAATATGGGCTTTAGTTCGGAGTTTGATGGCCGTGGTCGGGAGTGACGTGACCACGGGGAATAGGTGGTTGGCCACAGTCGGGAGGCTTCTGACTGCGGGAAATGGGCTGTTGGCCACGGTCGCGTGACTTGCTGGCCGTCTTCAAGTGGCTCCGGAGCTAATGGAATATCTTGAGATCCAACCGTTGGAATGTCTCCAAACCAAGTGCATTTGAAAGCTGGTTGATTCTTCTATAAGTTATCCAATTTTGAGGGTGATCAGACGGTGAGAAGGTCTTCGTCTCTCCATGAGAGTTATGACGGTCTGCATTTATCCAAAAGAGTCTTTTTGTTCCAATTTGTGCCTCTTTATCCCAAATTACCTGAAAAGTATTTTAAAATCTGAAAACATAGAAATCCTTTGAAAACCTTTGAAAATGGAGTAAAAACACCTGTAAAAGATATTAAAGTGATCCATAAAAATGGTCAAAATCCGGTGTTATCAACTCCCCCAGACTTAGTCTTTTGTTTGTCCTCAAACAAAAAAAAGGCTAAATCTCGGCAAGAGGTTTGAAAAACGCAGGAACTAAACAAAATCTCAGAGACCAAACTTCTATACCAATATCAATCAGTATGCATCAATCGGGAATAGCCTAGAAAATTCTCACTAGCAATACAGACATAACTAGTCTG